TCAGCAATCCCACTCCTTGCAATATATCCTAGAGAAATAAGAGCCATCATACAAATAGATTTATGCACACCCATGTTCATTGCAGCACTTTTCACAATGGCAAAAAGATGGAAACAACCTAGGTGCCCATCAAGGACGAATGGATAAACAAATTATGGTATACTCACACAATGGAATACCAGTCAACGATAAAAAGCAATGATGAATCAGTGAAACATCTCATAATATGGATGAATCTGGAAGACATTATGCTAAGTGAATTTAGTCAGTCACAAAAGGACAAATATTGTGTATGTGACCACTATTATAAGAACTCAAGATAAGGTTTACACACAGAAGAAAACATTCTTTGATGGTTACAAGGGTGGGGAGGGAGAGAGAGAGGTATTCACTAGCTAGATAGTAGACAAGAATTATCTTAAGTGAAGGGAAGGACAGCACACTCTACAGGGGAAGTCAGCACAACTGGGCTAAACCAAAAGCTAAGAAACTTCCTGAACACAACCAAACACTTCGAGGGACAGAGTAGAAGTAGCAGGGTCTGGGGACCATGGTTTCAGCGGACATTTAGGTCAACTCGCATAACAAAGTTTATTAAGAAAATGTTCTGCATTCCACTTTGGGGAGTGGCATCTGGGGTCTTAAAAGCTAGCGAGTGGCCATCTAAGATGCATCAATTGGTCCCAACTCACCTGGAGCAAAGGAGAATGAGGAACACCAAAGACACAAGGAAAATATCAGCCCAAGAGACAGAAAGTGCCACATAAATCAGAGCCTCCACAGCCTGAGACCAGAAGAACTAGATGGTTCTGGCTACCACCAATGACCGCCCTGACAGGGAACATAACAGAAAGTCCCTGACGGAGCAGGAGAAAAGTGGGGTACAGAACTCAAATTCTAGTAAAAAGACCAGACTTAATGGTTTGACTGAGACTGGAGGGACCCCAGAAGACATGGCCCCGGACTCTCTGTTGGCCCAGAGCTGAAACCATTCCTGAGACCAACTTTTCAGACAAAGATTAGACTGGACTATGGGACATAAAGTGATACTCGTGAACGGTGTGCTTCTTAGCTCAAGTAGCTACATAAGACTAAATGGGCAGCTCTTGTCCAGAGGTGAGATGAGAAGGCAAAAAGGGACAGAAGCTGGTTGAATGGACACAGGAAATCTGGGGTAGAAAGGAGGAGTGTGCTTTTACAGTATAGGGAGAGCAACTAGGGTCACATAACAATGTATAAATTTTTGTATGAGAATCTAACTTGAACTGTAAACTTTCACTTAAAACACAGTAAAAAAAGAAAAGCCTAGATTGCCTTGAAGAGAGTGTTGGCAGAATTACGGATGTCAAAGGCAATTCCTGTGAGGGCTCAGAGGAAAGTGAGGAGAGCTACAGAGAAAGTCTCTATCGTCAGAGAATACATACGGCACCAGCAATAGAATGTTGCTAGGAAAGTGGACGTTAAATGTGCTTCTGGCAAGGCTTTAAAAGAAAATGATAAGCACGTGTCTTAGTTATCTAGTGCTGCTATAACAGAAGCACCACAAGTGGATGGCTTTAACAATGAGAATTTTATTTTCTCACAGTCTAGTAGGCTAGAAGTCCAAATTCAGGGCGCCAGCTCCAGGGGAAGGCTTTCATCCTTCTCATGAAACTTCCCTGGGCTAAAGGACACGCTCTGCTCCCAGCACTGCTTTCTTGGTGGTAGTATGAGTTCCCCCGTCTCTCTGCTTGCTTTTCTCTTTTATATATCAAAAGAGATTGGCTAAAGACACTATCCAATCTTGTAGATTGAGTCCTGCCTCATTAACATAACTGCCGCTTATCCCACCTCATTAACATCATAGAGGTAGGATTTATAACACATAGGAAAATCATATCAGATGACAAAATGGTGGACAGTCACATAATACTGGGAATCATGGCCTAGCCAGATTGATACACATATTTTTGGGGGACACAATTCAATTCATGACACTCCACCCTTGGCCCCCTCAAATTCATGTCCTTGCCACATGTAAAACTTACTCACTTATTACAAACAAAAGAGCAGGTGCTGGTTATGTGGATTCAGGTTCTGCTCTTGGTAGCATAGCACAGGGCCTCATCCATGGTGAGGGGAGACAGAAGGGTGACCTGGTGGATGGGTGGTCATTATTTAGAGGGAACAGAGAGGAGAGAAGTGCCTCCGAAGACTCCCTATGTGTGGGACACCCGTGATTTCACACACTCAGATTCTTCCCTCATCCTGTCAGATCTCTGAGTGGCAAGGCCTTGGATGGAGTGGGCTATCTGGAGTCTCCTGGGATCTGTTTGGCCCCCTACCACCTGCCTCCCTCTTACCTAGGGTCTTTATACTTTCTTTCCTGGCAGGTTTTGCCCATCATTGTTTTCTTCAGCTGTGTCATGTCAGTTCTCTACTATGTGGGCCTCATGCAGTGGGTGATCTTGAAGGTGAGTTCCCAATGCCCATGGCCTACCTGTCCTAAAATCCCCTGCTCCCAGGGTCCATACTCTTTCAGAATGCCTTGCTCCCAGTGTCCACACCCTCCAAGAATGCCTTGCTCCCAAGGCCCACACCTCTCAGAATGCCTTGCTCCCAGGGTCCACACTCTCCCAGAATGTCTTACTTCCAGGGTCCATACCCTCTCAGAATTCCATGCTCCCAGGGTCAACATTCTCCCAGAATCCCTTGCTCCCAGTGTCCACACCCTCCCAGAATGCCTTGCTCCCAGTGTCCACACCCTCCCAGAATCATCTGCTCCCAGGTTCTAGACCCTTCCAGAATCCCTTGCTCCTAAGGTCCATACCTTCCCAGAATCCCCTGCTCTCAGGGCCTACACCCTCCCAGAGTCTACTATTAACCAAGCATCCTTTTACAGAATCTCCTGTTGTGATACTAAGGAGAAATTGCACCAAAATTCAATGTGGTCTTTGTGGGAGGGAAAGTTGAGGTCCTAAGGCTGCACTGAGGAGACGTGTTAGGGGAAAAAAACTGTATACCAAAAAGACTTCGAGAGACTGTAGCAGTAGGCTACATTGGCCAGATTTATCTGGTACAAGTGTCGAAACCTGAGCTTACATTCATAAAATCTGCTGCATAAAACCAGGATGCAGGAGACAGCACTGGAACTGGCAAAAGATTTTTAGGTTTTAGCTGCTTGAGCTTGGAATGAACCAGCACTGGTCAGTGGCTGCCAGAAATGCAAAAACAACATACAGTTATATTAAAAGTGCGCAGCGCATAACATGAGGGAGGGGATTATCTCCAAATCTGGAGAATGTGTCCAACTAAGGGGCTATGACAAACTGAAGTATAACCAGGAGAGTGAAAGGGCTTGAAACCATACCCTTCATAGAATGCTTGAAGGAAGTAGGGCCTGCGCAAGAGAAGACTGGAGTGGAGGAGATTAGGGATAAGATAAAACCAGTTGCCATCAAGTCAGCTCTAACTTATGAGGACCACATGTATGTCAGAGTAGAACTGTGCTCCACAGGGTTTTCAATGGCTGATTTTTCAGGGGTAGATATCCAGGCCTTTCTTCTGAGGCACCTCTGGGTGGACTCGAACCTCTGACCTTTCAGTTAGCAGCTGAGCATGTTAACCATTTGTACCACCCAAGTACTTCTATTCTGAGGATACAATAGAGGTTTTCAAATTCTTACAGAGGAGCGATTAGAGAAAGGGCAGCCTGAGATCCCAGCAGTAGACAGAAATTCCAGGGAAGCAGATTTCCTCTTGATTAAAAGGAAGACCTTTTTAATATAGTATTTTCTAAAGCCTCTTTCGCAGAACTCTAGTTCCACAGTGTGTTAATGAATGTTACCAGGGAAAGGGATTCCGTGGTCAAATATTTTTGGGAAGCTATGCTAAACACTAGACTTCTCAAAGGCTTTACTAAGCTCATGTGTATTGGTATACATATAAGGGGTGTGTGTACACACAGGGGTGTGTGTACACACAAAGGGTGTGTGTACCCACAAGGGGTGTGTGTATACAGAAATCCCCAAATATATTTGACCAGGGAATTCTTTTAGCATGGAGACTGAGGACACACACTTTAGAAGCTCTGCTGTAACGATTGGAGCCATCCTGAAGTGGAATGGGTGGCCTTGAGAAGCGGTAAGCCTTGGTCAATGGAAATGTGGAAGGAGAAGATGAAGGACCTTTTGCGGAAGTGTAGGTGAGGGACCTACACTGGCTTGGGAGTTGAAGGGGAGACTTGTGAATTACTTCCAGACCTGACTCTGTCTAACTCTGGAGCTTGGTGATACCAGTTCACGAAGAGTGCCTTGCTTCCTTCTAGATTGCCTGGCTGATGCAGGTCACCATGGGCACTTCGGCCACCGAGACTCTTAGTGTGGCTGGGAACATCTTTGTGAGCCAGGTGGGTGCTTCAGTCTCCCGCCCTCATGCTCATCAGTAGCATCCCTGGTGAGGGTGGGGTGCCCTGGGTTCGGAGCTTGGATTTGTCGAGAACAAGCCTTTTGAACCTTCTCCAGGGTCACCAAAGGCTATTGTCCCATGGATGCTTTGGGGAGCACTTTGCTTGGGTTGCGCCAGAGGATGGCATCTGTCTGGCATCTCCTATCACACTAGGCTTAGTCTGTCTTTATCAGCTTAACCAAAAAAACAAAAAAAACAAAAAAAAAACATTGCTATCAAGTCAATTCTGACTCACGGAGGGAGTCCAACTTTCTCATTTTAAATGTGAGAAAACTGAGGCTCACGGAACGGGAATGATTTGGCCAAGATCCCGTAAATGTAAGCCAGGCCTTAGAATCCAGGTCTTCTGCTTCCTGGCCAGGGTTTTTCCCACAAGATCATTTTGTCTTTATTTTTTTTCCTTCTCTCCCCTCTTTTTGAAAATCATCTTCCAGAGTAAATGTGATTCTGAAGGCACTGTAGAGCCTGAGTCCCTTTCAGAAAGCGCCAACCCTCCTGAGGGCAAGACTCTGGAGACTATTCCAGGGTCTGTCCTGGCCCATCTGCCTGACATTTGAGTCACCAAGAGACATACTTGTCAAAAGATGTCATATTTGATTAGCAGTTTCAGACACTTTGAAGAATATTTGCATCTTTTTTTTTTTTTTTTTTGCTATGGTGCAAGTGTATTGATTGTTGAGCATTTCAATATTTTGTTTTGTTTAGTCAATTAAGGCAGACATGCTCACAGATAAATTGTTTAAAAATCCCTGAAAGTGTTCAAAATGAGGCAAAAGAGGAAAAGGATACCAGAAATACAAAAGCACTTATTTTACATGAAATACTACAAATGTCATGATTTTTTTTTTTTTTTTTTTTTGCCAAGAAAACTATAAATTTTAGGTGACTATGACATTGGGTTAAGCATTTGACTGCTGACCAAATGGTCAGCAGTTCAAATCCACCAGCCACTCCTTGGAAACCCTGTGAGGCAGTTCTTTTCTGTCCTATAGGGTCACTATGAGTCCGAATTGACTCAGTCGCAATAGGTTTGTTTTTGTTTGTTTGTTTTTTTTTTTGGTTTTGTAACATTGCTTCATGGGAAGAGCTTACAAGGTGAATTAGCTTTGGACAAGTTGTTGCTCCAGCTGACCTAGACGCCTGGGTCTCTGCCTCATTTCCCCCACGGGGAGGCGACCGGGCCTTCAGGGATTAGCAGCATCAATCATTTCAATCGTCGGCAGGCCTGGGCTCTCTTCTTTTCTCTGTCCATGCTTTCTCCCTAGGGGACTGCACTAGCCCCCTGGTTTTCAACATTTTCAGTGTCTCCTAGGTCCAGGTCTGCCATCCTCACCTCTCCCCTGAACTCCAATCTGGTATGTCCATCTGCCTCCTCAGCCCTCCACTTGGATATCTAATGGGCACCTCGAACATAATTTGCTAAGTCCAAACGGAGCCCTTAATTCCCTCCCTCGTCAACCGCACCTCTCCACGTCTTTCCCTGGTCAGTAAAAGGCAACATCCTCCACCCGGTTGTTCAGACAAAAATCAGGGCATCGTCGTCCTTTCTTCCTCTGCCTCTCTCACCCCGTGCATCCAATTGGTCAGCAAGTCATGTCAGCTCGGATGCCACAGAGCATCCCAGACCTGCCCTGCTGCCAGTCCTCTCCTCTGCTGCCACCACACTGCTCCGAGCCACCCTTGTCTGTTGCCTCGAGACCTCCTACCTGTTCTCCCTGCTTCTATTCCTTCCCCTGCTATCCGTTCTTCACACGCCACTGGAGTGACCGTTTAAAAACACAAATCCGATCATGCCACACCCTACTAAACAAATCCGCATTCTTCCTTGCCCTGATTTACCAGACCCCTCATCTTGACCTGTGCTGCTGCTCACTCCGCTGGACACGCTAGCCTTCCTCCGGTTCCTCAGACTTGCCAAGCTTGCTCCCGTCTCACGGTCTTTGCTGTTCTCTCTGCCTGGAATGCTCTGCTACCAAACCTTATAGTTGGCTCCTTCAGGCCTCAGTTCAAACTTCACCTCCTCATGGAGGCCTTTGCTGATTCTTCCATTTTAAATATCCCGAACTGCCGGGCACGCTCTCTCACATGTCTCCATAGCTTTTATCACCTCCTAAAGTTACTTTGTTTATTTGGTTTCTTGTTGATGATCTGTTCTCCGCCCTTCCCCCACATCTTCCCCCATGCCCTCCTCACTGCTCCCAAGATGTACGTTCCATGAGGGCAAGGACCTTATCTGGTTCACCCCTGTACCCCTATGCTGTAGAACAGTGTCTGGCACCTAGTAGGTGCTTGATAACTATTGAATGAATGAATGGCTCAAGGCTTCCCCAGAGGCCTTGAAGTAAACACACCATTTAATGCCCCAGCTCCCTTCTCTTGGCGATCCCCATGCTTCCTCAGCAGCTCAGGCCTGGAGTTAGACCTGCTTCCCGTCCCTTTGCGTGAGCAGGGGTAATTCTTTGAATCTCTCTGAGCCTCTGTTTGCTCTCCTGGAAAATGGGGATCACCACAGTTATCTCATGTATGTCAGGCACTTAGTGGGGTGCCTGGCACATGGGGGGCACTCGACCCCAGGGACCTTATCGAGCCGAAGGTGGGGGATGGTAGTCTTTCTAGAGGCTGGCTGACACAGGGTCAGAAAGGCACAGCCAAGTACAGACCATGGTCCTCCCTGTCCCCTGGGATACCCTGACACTCACTATGACTATCCTACCCCTCAGGGAGGGGGATGTCCCTGGCCTGGCCAGCTCTGGAGTCTGACATCCTTCCTGTTTGCAGACTGAGGCTCCTCTCCTGATCAGGCCGTACTTGGCAGACATGACTCTCTCTGAGGTCCACGTCGTCATGACCGGAGGCTACTCCACCATCGCCGGCAGCCTGCTGGGCGCCTACATCTCCTTTGGGGTATGTACAGCCCTCCCTCTGCTTGGCCAGGCCAAGAACCTGGAACCCACCTTTGTGGGAGCCCCGTGCAGCTCCTGGGCAGAGCTGCCCTGGGATTTCCTCAGTGGGCTGCAGCCTGAAGCTGGGCTGCTGAGATATGACAGCAGGTGTCACCTGAGGAAGGCAGGTCAGGTGGGCTGGGCCACCCCATCAGGCTTCTCCCCTGGCCACTGGGAACCAAGATTCTCAGTGTCCATTTACTGAGCACCTTCCGTTTACCAGGCAATGTTCCAGAGATTTTAATACCCTCATTTTACAGATGAGGAAATTGAGGTTCAGAGAGAGTAAGTGACATGCCCAGAGCCAAGATTTGAGTCTAGATCAGTCTGACTCTACAATGTGCTCACGTCACCACAGTCCTTCACTTAGGCTGTCCCTGGAGATTTATCCTACCCGCCTCCAACTCCTCCCCACACGCTCTCTGCTCCTAAGTTACTGCTTGTGTAGCTTTCCGAGGACAATGCATTTCTAGGTCAAATTCCAGTGATGTGAATCAGGCCCATAAACCAACCACAACACTACTGCAGGGCGGGCAAAGTTGAATCTTTACAAGTGTCTCCTACAAACCCCAAAACCACGCCCATTGCTGTTGAATTGATTCCCACCCATAGCGACCCCATGTGTTACAGAGTAGAACTCCTCCGTAGCGTTTTCTTGGCCGTAATCTTTACGGAAACAAATCACCAGGACTTTATTCCGCAGTGCCACTGGGTGGGTTCAAACTGCCAACCTTTATGTTAGCAGCCAATCACAAACCACTTGTGCCACCAAGGGACCTTCTCCCCCACAAAGTGCCTGGTGATAATACTTCGCATTTCTAAAACCCTTGTATTTGTGCTACCATATGCAAATCTTCAAAGAACTTTTTTTTTTAAACTACAAAGAAATTCTTGCAGAAGTGAATAAAGTAAAAAAAAAAAAAAAAAAAACAAAAATTTTTCTTCCTTATCCTGATTTCCAATGGGTGATCACTTTTAATAACTTAGAACAGTGGTTTTCAAAGTATGGTGCTTAGACCAGCAGCATCAGCATCACTTGGGAACTTGTCAGAAATGCAAATTTTTACCGAATCCGAAGCTTTGGGGGTGGGGCCCAGTAATTTGGGGTTTAACAAGCCCTCCAGGTGTTCTGATGCCCACTCAGGTTTGAGAACTACTGACTTAGGTCATTCCAGATCTTTCTGTCTATATACAGTCATTAAGCATATATATTTGAATATACACATACTTGCTTTCTTTTTTCCAAAAGATGAGGTATTTCTACCCATACTTTTCTGAAACCTGCTTTCTTCTTACAATGTTCTGAGTGTGATATGAAATTCAGAAGCATAAAGGGAAAGGTTGACAGAGCTGACTAATAAAAATAAAAAACCTTCTGTGTGGTGAAATTCTTGCATGTAACTCTGATGCTGGAAAGTTATTTCACATACCAGCAGGGTCACCCAGGTGCCCAGATTTCAGAAGAGCTTCCAAACTAAGGCAGACTAGGAAAAAAGGCCTGGCCATCTACTTCTGAAAATCAGCCAATGAAAACCCTATGGATCACAAAAGAATATTGTCTGAGATAGTGCTAGAAGATGAGTCTTCTAGGTTGGAAGGCACTCAGAATACACAATGGCTGCAACAATGGACTCAAGTATACCAGTGATCCTGAAGATGGTGCAGGACCGGGCAATGTTTGGACTGTCGTACTTGGGGTCACCATGAGTCAGACCTGACTTGATGGCAACTAACAACCCCCTTCTCTCGTCCTGAATTCTACCTGTCTCTCATCTCTGTCCTTAGGGGTGGCAGGGTGGTGGATGAGAGGACAAGCCAGGTTGCACCTCTGTTCCTCCCTCACCCAGGACACATGGCCACACCAATCAGCTCAGCTCCACATCCCCACAGGGCTGCCCAGGCAGACCTGTGTGACTTTCCCAGAGGCCCTTGGTGCTGGGGCTTTGTTTTCTAGCCGGGAACCCTCCCATCTAGAATTTTTGAGATCATCACACTGTGTCTTTACCAAGGCCTAAGAAGGGCTCATCAGAGCTAGTACCCCCCCACCCACCCACCACCAATTGTTCCTGGAAAAAAATGGACATTTCAAAAATGGAAAACCAGAACTTTATTCCTGAAACTTTTTTCATGGTTGAGTATTGATTTTATTTGGCACTACATATCAGGGGAAGGGGTCCTGGTGGCACAATGGTTAAGCACCCGGCTGCTAACTGAAAGGTCGGCAGTTCAAATCCACCAGTGGATCCACAGAGAAAAGACCTGGCAATCTGCTCCTGTAAAGATTACAGCTTAGGAAAACCTATAGGGCAGTTCTACTCTGTCCTCTAGGGTCACTATGAGTTGGAATCAACTCAATGTCACACAACAACAAACATATTAGGGGAGAGGGTGCCATATATTCAGGACTTGTTAGGTGCCATCGAGTTGATTTTAACTCACAGAGACCCCAAGTGACAGAGTAAAACTGCCCCATGGGGTTTTCTAGGCTGCAATGTGTACATGAGCAGATCGCCCAGTCTTTCTCCCTCGGAGCCACTAGGTGGGTTTGCACCACCAACTTTCAAGCAGCAGCTGAGCACTTAACCATTGGGCTCCCTTTTCCACAGTCTGTCTTGAAATTCAGCCTCTTCATTCCCCTGTTCAGGCCGGAGTGCAGCCTCAGCACAGGCAGTCTGGACTCCCAAATGCAGGGGGCTGGGTGTCCACATCCCTTTAGTGCCACAGAATCTGCAAAGCAGAGGCAGCCAGGATCAGAGAGACAGCCAGAGAAGCAGGAGGACATGTGTACTCTGCCCGCCGGTATGTCATCGTCATCATCACTGCCGTCACTCTTATTCCTGATAACATCTTGTAGGTGTAGAGAGTCACAGCTTGTGTGTACAGAACCTCATATTTTCCCCTAGTTCTTCTGTAAGTTTGGCAGGGCAGGTAATGTTATACCCATTTTACAGAAAAGGAAACAGACATCCAAACAGATGAAGTATGACTCGCCCAAGATAAAGGAAGAGAAGGAATTAGAACCCATGGTGTCTTTGGCTCCAAGTTCAAGGTTGTTCACCTTCTCGGTTGTCTCCCTTTGACCACTAATCCAAGGGCTGGTTCACCATTAGCTGAAGGTCTGGGATGGTTTCAGACAAAGCTCACAGCCCTCTGGGCTAAAAGCCCCGGGCCACAACCGTAGCTGGCCCAGGAGAAAAGCACCAAACAGATCTTCTTCCCTCCCTCCCAGCACCCTCTAGAGCTGCCCAGTCTGGCCTCAAGAGAAGCTCTCTCCTGCTGCCACCTGACTCTTGGCCGCCACCGCACCAGCCCCACAACCCTCTCCCAAGAGCCGTTTCTTCCTACTCTCTCCCCTCTTGCCTCAGTCTGTTCCTCACAGTGTCTCAGGCTCTGCCCTCAGCTCCTGCTCTCTCTTCCAAGCTCCCAGATTCTCAAGACCTTTTTCTTCATAGCTCAACTTCTGGCTCCCTTTGCAGGGGGTGGATTAACCAGTAAGCAAGGTACGCATGGACTTATATTAAGCAAGGTACGCAAGGGCTTAATTGTGTTTATTTACTAATCTGTAGTGCACAATTTCAAAGACGTGGTTAAAAAAAAAAAAAAAAACAGCCGAAATTATGCACTACAGATTAGTCAGTAAGCACAAGTAAACCTGTGCATACCTTGCTTATTGGGTAATCCCTTCCTGCCCTTTGCCCTGCCCCCTCCTATTGCTAATATTCATATATTTCTAGATCTGCACTGTCCAATACAGTAGCCACCAGCCACACATTGATACTGAGCATTTGAAATGTGACTCATCTGAAATGAAATGTGCCACGACACTTAGTGTGGAAAAAAAAAAGTAAAATATTTCATTAATAACCTTTATATTGATAACATGGTCGAAAGAGAATATTGTAGACTTATTGGGTTAAATAAAATATGTCATTAAATTTAACTTTACCTGCTTTTTACTTTTTCAATGTGGCTAGTAGACAATTTTAAATTATGTATGTGGTTCATAGTGTATTTCTGTTGGGTGGTACTGGTCTAGACCTTCTTCCCTGGGCCGAGTTCCCACAGGTCACTTGACTGAATCCTTTCTCTGTGACCTCTTCATACAGCTCCATTTTCACGGTCCTTTCCAAAGGCTTTACTACAGTAGGCACCAGCTCTCCCTACTCACCCCCAAAACTGGTCTGTCCTCTCAGCCCTCTGGCTGAGGGGCCACTGTGAGAGGAGGCCCAGATGTGTGCCTTGGATGGGAATTGACTACACATGTTCCTTGATGAGTTATGCACGAGTGGGGTCCTCAAGGACAGGGTGTGTGAGGCCCTGAGCAGGGCCAACTAAGAGTCTACCACTTAGTTTCCACATCTGTAAAATGGGCAGAATTTCTACCCAGCTCACAACAGTGGCTCTGGTGGCAAAGTGGTTAAGCGTTTGGCTGCTAACCAAAAGGTTGGCAGTTTAAATCCACCAGCTGTTCCTTGGAAACCCTATGGGGAGTTCTACCCTGTCCTATAGGGTTGCTATGAGTCAGAAGCAACTTGGTGGCAATGGGTTTTGTGTTTTTTTCACAGCAGAGTAAGAATTACAGTGAAACCTGTGAGAGCCGGCACTCGACGTGACTGCTTTGTTTTTCTGGGTCTCACAAAATTTTCGCCTTTGACAGGGTGCAATCTTAGCACTTTTCTATCGGTTGTTTTAGTGGAAAATCCTTGAGTTTTCCTTCTCCGGCAGGTTTCCTCCTTACACAAGTTCTTGATTTGGCAGTTTTTCCTGTCAATGCAGTAATAGATGAAAAACACTAAGCATGGCATTGGAAGAAGTGGTGATTCTTTTTCTGATGCAAGGTCAGAGAGCTATCCTTCTGAAGCTGGCCTATTTTATGCTTTGGATTTATTTCCTTTCTTGGAAAAGTTCCTTTTGAAAATTCAAATTGAGGGCTCTTACCCTCTATCCCTCTCCACACAGTATACCTTTCGGGCAGAGAGGGGAGGGCCTTAGGCAGAAGTCAGCCCTGGGATGCTGGGACAGAAGATGTCCCTGACCTCATGCCTGGGAGGCAGGCCTGGGGATGTCACCGCCCTGAAGGGTGGCTGGGAGTAGGGAGGCCGTGAACAGCTGGCCCAGCACCCCAGGGAGGCCTGCCTGTGCAGAACTCGGCCCTTTCTAAGATGAGCAGGAAATGACTCAGCTGAGGCATTGCAGCTCTGGCCACAGCTGGCCGACTCAGGGGACACCATCCAGGAATGTGAAGCTGCAGGGTGTGCTTCAGCTGTCAACTCCACGCTGAAGAAAGGGAAAGGTTGTGGCTGGTGGAGGGAAAATCCCAAGATTTAGGGTGTGGCACTATCTCCACTGGAGCTGGGCAGCCAAGGTGGAGGCAGGTGAAGTACCGAACCTCGGCCCAGAAAGTCCAGAGGAGCAAGGCTGACTTGATCTAACAAGGAGCAGATCCTGGGCCCGAATACCCAGTGCCACGATGGGGGTGGGGTGGGGAGGTGGTGCTGGTTCTTGTTTCATGTTTTGAGGGGTTTTCCGCTTCATCAAAAGGACAGAGAAATTGATGCAGTCGAGTCGATTCTGATTCATGGCAACCTCGTGTGTGTTAGAATTGAACTGCACTCCATAGGGTTTTCAGTAGCTGATTTTTTCAGAAGTAGATCTCCAGGCCTTTCTTCCGAAGCACCTCTAGATAGACTTGAACCTCCGACCGTTCAGTTAGCAGCCGAGCCTGTTAACCATTTGCACCACCCAGGGACTCTGAAAAGAAAGAAACAGGGTTTAAGAAAGAAGAAGGGAACAAAAGAAGGGTGTTACATGGGTTTTAGAGCCTTCATGGGCCTGGTTCCTCATCAGCAGTTCCTGGCACTTCTCCAGGATGATAACTAGGTACCTTCATGCACTTCTCCTCTGCTTTTATTAGCTGCAATATGTAGCTCAAGCTTACCTTCCTCTCTCTTTTTTTTTTCTTTTTATTTAAAATTTAAGAAATGCGATTGGTTTATTACAGACTTTAAGGAGAAAATCTATTTTACTTTTCTGTTTATGAAAGCAATATATGTTGTTGTGGACATTTTGAAAGATGCCAAAAAGCAAAATTGTAAAAATAATTTCTTTTAGAAGGATTAGCACAAAGCTGGTTCCTATGAGGCAGAGGTTAAAGATGTCCCAAATATCCAGCTTTTCCAAACTGCTGTACCACTCCATCATCTCTATCATCAACTCCTCCTCCTCCCCTCAGTACTCTCCCTCCCATTTTTGGGTTCTGTAATTTGCTGCAACATCTCACAGAACTCACAAGGAAAAGGCTCATGCGGTTGTGGAGGCTAGCAAGTCCCAAATCTGCGGGTCAGATGTCAGGCTGGAGGCTTCTTCCGACTCACATGGTTGCAGGGCCTGACAAACCCAAATCAGCAGGTCAGATGACAGGCTACTGGCTCACAAGGTTGCAGAGGCTGGCAGATCAGGTCAGACGATAGGCTGCTGGCTCAAGTTCCAAGAACTGGAGGTCAGATGATGACGAGCTGGATGCAGGATTCAGAGCAAGAGGAAGAGCTTTGCCAGAGCATTCATATATATTGGATGCAGACCATACCCTCAAGGAAACTCCCACTACTTGAGAGGCAGTGCAAGGGTGTGACTTGAATAAGGGTGGTAAGGGTAAGGGTGGTGACTTGAGTCACACCCTCTAGTAAGATGGTGACTCAAGATGCATCCCATCCTAATCTTGCCTCATTAACATAACAGAAAACTCACTCCCAAATAGGACTATAACCACAGGCATAGAGGTTAGGATTTACAACACATCACATAATGGAGGATAATTACATCAGATCACAAAATGGAGGACAATTACACCAGACCACAAAATGGAGGATGACTACACCATTACATTACTGCCAAATTACATCATTACATAACTGCCAAACCACTGAAAGTCATGGCCCAGCCAAGTTGACACATAACCTTAACCCTCACAGTTTCCATATACCTTATTTGTGTAGTCCCACCCAATCATTGTGTGGGAGTCACAAAGACTATGGCTAAAAGGGCCTATTAAGTAACTCATTGCACCACAAGAAAGAAAAGAAAATTACCCATGGCCCCACTAACCAGGGACAGCCCATTTGTTTAAATTTTGGTGTATTTCTTTCTGGTCTTCTTCTTATGTATAGTTCTTGTTTTTTTTTTTTTTTTTCTTAGTTATGTTTATGGTCTATATGCAACTTTGTAGGCATTTCCCCATGGTATTGTGAAGGCTTGGTAACCATTGTTTTCAATGACAGCAGGACAATGCTTAGCCATTCCCCTACTGTTAGATGTTAGGGTTGGTCTTAATTTTCCCCTTTGGTAAATAATACAGTCATGGGGGGGAAAAAAAGTGTCCCATCTATCTCTGTGGAAGAGAACAGGGAAGCAAAGGGATTATGGTTGTACTGAGGATAAAGATTTAAGAAGGGAAGACTCTCAAGGGCTGAGATTGCTGTGCCATCTTGCTGGGGAGGACTCTTACAGGGTGGCTCCTGGAGGTGGGCCCAGGGCCAAAGGTGGCTGCTATAGGAGGCAGATTTCCTGAGAAAAAGCTCTCTAACCACAGGAGTGTGAGGCACTGGTGGTTCAGTAGAAGAATTCTCACCTTCCATGCAGGAGATCTGGGTTCAATTCCCAGCCAATGTACCTCATGTGCAGCCACCACCTGTCTGTCTATCTGTGGAGGCTTGCATGTTGCTATGATACAGAACAGGTTTCAATGGAGCTTCCAGACTAAGATGGACTAGAAAGAAAGACCTGGCAATCTATTTCCAAAAAATCGGCCAATAAAAACTCAATGGATCACAATGATCTGATCCGTCACCAATCATGGGAATAGTGCAGGGCTAGGCAGTGTTTTATTCCATTGTGCACGGAGTCACCATGAGTTGGGGGCTGACCCAATGGCAGCTAATAACAAGAACAACAACAACTATTACCACAGGAGTGGATGTGACGAGCTGCCTTGAAGTGGTGAGCTCCCTACCACAGTGAGCATTCAAGGAGTGATGCTACAGAAGGAGTACATTCCTCCATTAAGCAAGAGGTTGAATTGGGTCACAAATTAAGTCCATCCCAACTCTTAGGTTTTGTGAGCTTTGACTGAAACCATCACAAACCCCTCAGCTAACGGTTAACCAGCCCTTGGATCAATGGTCGAAGGGAGACAACCTAGGAGGGAAGGAAGAACCTTGAACTTGGAGCCAAAGACACCATGGGTTCTCTTCCTTTATCTTGGATGAGTCATATTTCATCCTTTTGGGTCTGTTTACCTGCCTATAAAATGGGGATAGTAATACATGCTCTGCCTAACTTACAGAAGTACTAGGGAGAAAATAATGAGGTTCTGCACATACAGCCTGTGACTCTCTACCCATATGAGGTATTATTATCAGTAACAATGACAGCAGTAATGATGGTGATGACACACAGCAGAGCAGAGTACACATGTCCCCCTGCTGCCCTAGCTCCGACATTTCCTTAGACTGTCCCTTGTAAGCCTTATCCCCACTCTTGCAGATCGACGCTGCCTCTTTGATTGCTGCCTCCGTGATGGCCGCTCCTTGTGCTTTGGCCCTCTCCAAGCTGGTCTACCCGGAGGTGGAGGAGTCCAAGTTTAGGAGTGAGGAAGGGGTGAAACTGACCTACGGGTAAGTGCAGTAGGAGGGCCTGTAGAGAGATGGGGGGGTCCCAGAGCAGAGGTGGAAGGTAACTGTGGGTCCTACTTTCTCTGCTCGTCACTGTCTCCCACCAAGCCCAGGGCCACCTCTCCTCTTTCACTGCCCTGGTTGTGTCTTCACTTTGGAAAACGTAGACTCCAATTCCTACATCTTAATTTGCAGTCTCTGACCAGCAGGAAACAATGGGCTGGTCAAGGCAGCAGATTCTGGTCTGGTCCTTGGGGATATGGCCTGGTACAAGTGCTGAAGAGGGTCACACAAAGGCTCCATGCCACCTTCTCTGCAAGCCTGGAGTTCTGCCCACCACTATGTGTCAATCCTATATTGCGCTCCATCCTTGATTTCATCCACCTCCTCTAACATCTCTTCATCAGAGTCTTAATGACTGTTACGTAATATTTAATCTTAAAATATGTTGAAAAGCACCACTTTTGGAAAATGTGCTTGGGGACATGTAGGCAGCCCCAATTTCACAACTTCCTGAATGTTTAGAGCAGTGCTGACTTATAGAAACATAAAGTGAGCCATATGTGTAATTTTAAATTTTCTAATAGCCACCTACTGCCGTTGAGTCAATTCCAACTCATGGCGACCCCATACGGTTTCCAAGGCTGTAAATCTCTACGGAAGCAGACTGCCACATCTTTCTCCCATGGAGCCACTGGTGGTTCTGAACCGCTGACCTTTCAGTTAGCAGTCAATCGCTTTAACCACTGCACCACCAGGGCTCCCATCTTAAAAAAAATTAAAAATTAAATAGTATATTTCATTTAGCCCAATGTATTCAAATCTATCATTTCAACATACAATAATAATATGTTGTGGGTGGTTTTTGTTGAGTTGATTCCAATTCATAGCAACCCCATGTGACAGAGTAGAACTGCCCCATAGGGTTTTCTTGGCTGTAATCTTTATGGGAGCAGATTGCCAGGTCTTTCTCCCATGAAGCCGCTGGGTGGCTTCCCACTGCCAACCTTTTGGTTAGCAGTCGAGCACTTAACTGTTTGTGCCACCAGGGCTCCTTCGTAATAATATATTATTAAAGAGATATTTTACATTCTGTTCTTCATATGAAATCTCCAAACTCTTGTGTATATTTTACACTTACAATACATCTCAATTAAGATCAGCCTCATTTCAAGTGCGCCAAAGTCATAGGTGGCTAATGGCTTCCATATTGGATGAGGCAGTGTTAGAAATCTGGGTCGGATCCCAGCACTTGGACAAACTCCTTTCTCAGTTTGGGCATCAGAGGAAAAGCAAGGACCCTTCCGGCTCTGAAATGCTCTTCCCAAGTTTCCTCTTTGGGCCTATAGGACAGGACCCCTGCTGTTTGTGAGGACAGGCCAATAAGGATTGCTCTTGCTCCCAACAACAGAGAAGCACAGGACCTCTTAGAAGCAGCCAGCAGTGGGGCCGCCATTTCGGTGAGGGTCATTGCCAACGTTGCAGCCAACCTGATTGCCTTCCTGGCGGTCTTGGCCTTCATCAATGCTGCCCTCTCCTGGCTGGGGAACATGGTGGACATCCAGGGGCTCAGCTTCGAGGTATGGTTCCCAGGGACCCACCTCAGCCTGTGGAGAGGATGATACTGGGTGGCCGGCATAGGTGGTGGACATGGGCTGTGGCCTGGAGTACCCTGCCTGCGTGGTGTTGGAGCCCCGCAGCATCCAGGCCCAGCCCTCCGTCCGAGCTCCTTTTGTTCTTCCACCCTCAGCTCATCTGCTCCTTCGTTCTACGGCCTGTGGCCTTCATGATGGGCGTGGCCTGGGAGGACTGCTCGGTGGTGGCAGAGCTGCTGGGGAAGAAGCTGTTTCTGAACGAGTTTGTGGCCTACCAAGAACTCTCCCAGTACAAGCAGCGCCGCCTTGCAGGGGCTGAGGAGTGGGTTGGTAACAGGAAGCAGTGGATCTCTGTGAGTGTCCCTGTCCCCTCCCTGCGGTAATGGGGTGACACAGCCACTCCTGAGACCCCTTGGCAGCTGCTGTCCCACCTTCTGGGCCTGGATGAGACACACTGAGGGGACACTTAACCTTCTACTTCCCATTGCCCTGGGAGACAAGCTGGCTTCAGGGTTTGCTGCTGTCTTTCTCAAGGCCTCTTGGAAGGGGGAAGTACAGGAGAAAAGATATCTGAGATCTAACCCTAGATGGGCCACTTTTCACTGGGTGCCCATGGGCCAGCCACTGCACATCATCTCTTCTATTGGAAAACAGGGATGTAATTCCTGCCACGTTCACCCACAGGAATGCATATAAGCGTCCAGTGAGCTAAAAGAGAGTGTGGGAGGCCTTACCACGTTCACTGTTGTTATGTAGATTCTGTTCATGGGTTGGCTGTTTCTGTTAAATTTATTTTAAAAAACTATAAAAGCTCTACAAAATTAACTTTTCTAAAATGACAACAGTTCTATGTAACATTACTGAGAATTTAAAGAAGAATGAAAAAATTACCTGTAATTTCACCATCCTGAAAAACAACCGTTTTCATTTTATGCATTTTCTTCAATTCTTTTTGAGAGAGTTTACGTAGTTGTCATTGTAGAATCTGCACTGTAGTGTAGCCAGCTTTTTCCCCACACTTAATATTATAACATAAGCATCATTTTCAATACATGTAGCCTAACATATTTAACCAATCCCTTGCTGTTGAGCCAATCAGGTTAACCCCATTATTTGACTGTAACGCACAGAGTAGAAATGAATATCTTGGTGCCTAGAACTTTCCCCTCCTCTTGGATCATAGAAGGCTTGGATCACATGGTATAAATCCTGGTGTGGTTTCCCAAAGGGTTGTGGCAACTGAAATTGCCACCAGTTCTACCTGTGAGCATTTGTTTCTCCACATACTAAACAGCACTGAGTATTCTACTTTAATGGACAAATCATAGCTCATTGTTTTAATTTCCATTTCTTGGGTTACTAGGAACTTTTAACACTAAATTTTTTTTTCTTTTACATTATTTTTTAAATCACAAAGGAATGTACTTTTTAGTTTAAAAAAATGTTTATATGAAGTAAAAAGCACAAGTTTCCCCTCACTCCTCATCCTCACCTCTGGTTTCACCTCTTCCTCAGAGGACCTCAGGCCCTCTTTCTATGAATTTCATTTCTTCAGCAAGTATTTGTTGAGATGTTTTAGGTACCAGGCACCCTAGGGTTAAAACCCATTGACGATGAGTTAAGTTTGACTCACAGCGACCCTACAAAACAGAGTAGAACTTCTCCATAGGGTTTCCAAGGAGCAGCTAGTGGATTCAAACTGCCGACCTTTTGGTTAGCAGCCATAGCTCTTTAACCACTGTGCCACTAGGGTTAGGAAAGGAAATTAGAAAGACGTCATCCCTGGTCTCATGGAACTTATATCTAGTGAGAGACACAGGCAAAACAAAAGAGAGCAAGGGAATAAATAAAATAACCACAAATTGTGGTAAGCTCTAGGAAGGAAATAAACAAAGGAGAACAGGGAGGGGCCTTCCTTGGCTGGGCTGGTCAGAAAAGTCTTCCCCGAGGTACAGCATTTAGGCCAAGACTCAGAGTGAAGAGAAGGAGCCAGTCAGAAGAGGCTGGGAAGGAATGTTCCAGGCAGAGGAAGTAGTACGTGCAAACGCCCTGAGGTGGGAAAGCTTGGTATATACAAAGGACTGAGAGAAGAGAGAAGTGTGGCTAGAGTAAGTGGTAATCATGAAGGGAGAGTGGCACAGGCCAAGGAACACTAGGAAGTTACTGAAGATCTGACACTTTACATTTCAAGAAGATCAATCAGGCTGCTGGATGGCGTGTGATTTTAGGGAAACAAACAGAGATGCAAGTCTTAATATTTTCCCATGAATGTTTATAAACTCTTATGTTATAACCAAAACATAACAAAAGAGTTTAAACATTGATGGGAAAACTCTATGGGGCAGTTCTACTCTGTGCAATAGGGTCGATGTGAGTCGGAATCAACTTGATGGCAAAGGGTTTGGTTTTTTTTGGTTTCTTATGTTACAAAAAGTTAACCCTTTTCTGTTATATTTTCTACATATATTTTTCCTAGTCTTTTTTTTTTTTAATTTCGTGCATAGGGATTTATTTTTTAAGACAGATTTTACACCAAATCTTTTCCTTTGTTATTTTTTTCTATTATTTCTAAGCTTAGAAAGTTATTCCATTCTAGAATCTTGTAAGTGTTAAATTCCCCAAACAATTTGGTAAAGTAGTTAAGAGCATGAGCTTTGAAGCCAGACAGAACTGAGTTCGAATTCTGACACAGCCACCTTCTTGCTGTGTGAACTTTCTCAATTACTTAACCTCTCTGAGCCTGTTTGTGCCTCTCCAAAATGATAATAATAAATTTTCTATTAATTGATGTTTATAATATTAATATTTATCTGTTTCAGTAATCTCAAATTAATTTTACATATGGTGTAAGGTGTGAGCCTAAGCAAATTTTCCCCCCTAATTGTTCCATTTTGGCTCTTAACACTTGCAGCTGTTCTGTTTGGGAAATTAAACACCACTTAGGGTAAAAGGGAAGTGGAACTACTTCGTTTAAGCACCTACTCTATGTAAGTACTATGTACTAAGTACTAGTACTAAGTACTCTGGTAGTTTCCATAGATAATATGATCCTCACAGCAGCTTTGCCAAGCAGACATTATTATTCCCAATTCCCAGATGGACAAACTGAAACTTAAAGAGGCTATTGACTTGTTCAAACTGCTAATAGGTGGGGACAAGCCTGGAACCAGGTGGGTCAAGCTCCCTCCCTCACATGCCCTCCTCAGAGGGATCTCAGCAGGAAAGCATTCACAGTAGACAAGCTGGAGACTACAGAGAGTTGGGGGGAAGGGGCCATTCAGAAGTGCCACTGGCACAAAGCTTAGTGGGACCAAAGTGAGGACAGGGCAAGCCTGAGTCATTCCCAGAAGGCTGGTAATTAAGACAAGGGGTTAAAGGACAGATGTGGGGGGTGGGAGGGCTGTGTTTTTGAGGTAATGCAGTTTGAGCTGCTGTAGAGGTGAGTATGCAAGGCCTGGAGCCCTGGTGGCACTGTGGTTAAGAGATCAGCTGCTAACCAAAAGATTGGCATTTCGAATCTACCAGCCACTCCTTGGAAACAATATGGGGCCGTTCTACTCTGTCCTATAGGGTCGCTATGAGTCAGGATCAATTTGATAGCACGTTTGATTTGGTTTTTTGGTTTATGCAAGGCCTGGAGCCCTGGTGGTGCTGTGGTTAAGAGCTTGGCTGCTACCCAAAAAATCGGCAGTTTGAATCCACCAGATACTCTTTGGAAACTCTATGGGGCAGTTCTACTCTGTCCTATAGGGTCACTACGAGTCAGAATTGACTCGGTGATGGGTTAGATTTTTTGGTATGTGTCTGGGAGGGGTCACACAGAGGGTTTCAAAGGTCAAGGACACATAGGAAGGGGTGAAATTGAGGCTAGGGGACCTGGATGGTGTGGGGGTACTTCTGCGCTGCCTGAGGGAAGCGTCTCCTCACTCATCTGTATTTTTAGATCAGAGCAGAAATCCTCACGACGTTCGCCCTCTGTGGATTTGCCAACTTCAGCTCCATTGGGATCATGTTGGGAGGCCTGAGTGAGTCTTCTGGGGGCCTCCCCAGCCTCCTGGAGAGTCAGGGGCCTGGACTTCAGTCCTGGCTCTGAAACAACTTGCTGGGACCTGTAGGCCTCAGTTGTCCCATATGTCTAAGGAAGAGGCTGAACAATATGTCCTTGGGGGCCCCTCCCATTCTAGAATTCCATGAATTCTCTACTGCTGAGGGTAGCCCAAGAGGTTAGCATCTTGGCCTTTCAGGTGGCGCCTGGCTGAGGGGGCTGGGGAGGGGTGGGCGGTGTGGTACTGGCTTGTCCCCTTGAAGCTTTGGCCTGCCACTCCCACCTCCACAATGGACAGGTGGCAGGCCTGGCAGGGCCTAGGGAGGAGGGTTCAGCCCAGCGCCTCAGTTCTTCACAAACAATATTTCCACTCCTTGCCATCACCCTGCAGGTGGTGTAACATCCCATTTTACAGAGAAGGAGACTGAGTCTTGGAGAGGTGAAGCGGATGGTCCTAGTCACTCAGCTCCTAAGTGGCTGAACCTGTACTTAATCCCAGGTCTGCCTGACTCCTAACTCGTGTTCTTTCCCCTACACCTGCCACGGTGGCGTGTGGGGCATGTGCTATCTAGGGGCCTGAGCCAGGCCAGCGATGTCTCCAGAATTCAGTAAGCTAGTCAGGAGGACAACATCTGCTCCCCTAAACACTGAGAAGAGGAAGGACTGTCAGCAGATGCAGCCAGAGTCCCAGAGAGTGGGCAGAGAGGCACGTGGTGTCCTTGGCTCTGAGCACTCCTGTTACTTGCAGCCTCCCTGGTTCCTCAACGGAAGAGCGACTTCTCCCAGATAGTGCTCCGGGCGCTCTTCAGTGGGGCCTGTGTGTCCCTGGTGAACGCCTGCGTGGCAGGTGAGTTCAGGCCTGGTCCCGGGTCCACACCAGGGTGCTGGGCTCTGGCCTCTCCAGGAGGCCTTGCGGGTGGGGAGGATAGGCCCTGCCCGCCTGCTGCTTTCTCTCCATAGGGATTCTCTACGTGCCCAGGGAGGCTGAGGTTGACTGTGTGTCCCTCCTCAACATGACCCTCAGCAGCAGTAGCTTTGAGGTGTACAAGTGCTGCTATGAGGTCTTCCAGAGGTGAGGGCCTGGGCTGCGGGGGACGTGAGGGGCAACTACTGGGACAGGATACAGAAGACCCACGTGCCTGGGGGATGGCTTTTGGTGAGGGTAGAAATGTTATGGCTACGGCCAGGGGAGGAGGAAGAGGGGGCTTGAGGACCAAACTTGGGGAGGAGGGAGCGGAGCAGAGACATGGAGCAACTTTCCCAGGGTTGCACAGTTTTCCTGGTCAGCAGAGCCAGGCCTGGTGCTCAGGCTGCAGCCTTTCCTTTCTTTTCAGCACCAGCTCCCAGTTCAGTGCAGAGGCCCTGGGCAACTGCTGTCGATTTTACAACCACACAACCTGTGCATAGCAGGGAACCCAGCGTCTTTGTGCCTCCTGGAAGCAGCTGTCCCCACCTTTCTCTGTCCAGGCTCCTCCTTCGGGAAGCTGTGAGGGGCTCAGACTGGCTCAGACACACGCGAAGGGGAGGTGGAGTGAGTGGACAGAGAGTGAGTGGGTGTACAAGTAAATGAAGGAACTCCCCCACCCCTGCACCCCTTTCTGCTCCCCATTTTCTCTCTCTCAGAATGCAAATTCTCAGGGTCACCCCTGCCTCCTCCTCTCTCTCCTCCATATCTAAATAGTGCCCTGGTCCTCTCCACTCTCCCCTCCCCTTAGGGGTCTCTCACATGCACCCTTTCTTTCTGCATGGGACCCTCACCCAAACTTCCTCCTCCCCTCACCCCTGACCTTTCAGCCACCTCCTCCACGGCCTCTGGCCTCTGACTCCTGGACTGTAGGTTCTCTCTGTGGTTTACCCCACAACGATTTCTCCTGGAGAATCTTCTCTCTACTTTCAGAGACTCCTCCACTGCCTCCTCCACAGCACTTCCCAAACTGGTATCCCGTGAAACACTCCTGCCAGATTCAGGGAGTTCCATAATCAGATAGGTTTGGAAAGTGCTGGGCTAAGTAAGGTTAGACAGGTTTCTTTACTGTGGGCTTGTCAGCACTTGATGTGAATATGATATGAGGCATTTTCCAAATTTATATGACCTTAAGGGCCTTTTTGTGAGTGTGTGCTTTAGGTGAAAGTTTACAGAACAAATTAGTTTCTCATTAAATAATTAATACACAAATTGTTTTGTGGCATTGGTTGCCAACCCCATGATGTGTCAACACTCTCCCCTTCTTGACCTCAGATTCCCCGTTTCCATTCTCCAGTTTTCCTGTCCCTTCCTGCCTTCTCATCTTTGCTTTTGGGCTGGTGTGCCCATTTAGTCTTATGTACATGGTTGAACTATGTGAGTTATTGTTTGTTTTATAGGCCTGTCTAATCTTTGGCTGAAGGGTGAACTTCAGGAGTGACTTCAGTACTGAGTTAAAAAGGTGTCTGGGGGCCATACTCTTGGGGTTTCTCCAGTCTCTGTCAGACCAGTAAGTCTGGTCTTTTTTTGTGAGTTTGAATTTTGTCCTATATTTTTCTCCAGCTCTGTCCAGGACCCTTTATTGTGATCCCTGTCAGAGCTGTTGGTAGTGGTAGCCGGGCACCATCTAGTTGTGCTGGACTCAGTCTGGTGGAGGCTGTGATAGTTGTGGTCCATTAGTCCTTTGGACTAATCTTTCCCTTGTGTCTTTGGTTTTCTTCATTCTCCTTTGCTCCAGATGGGGTGGGACCAGTAGATGTATCTTAGATGATTGCTCACAAGCTTTTAAGACCCCAGATGCTACTCACCAAAGTAGGAGGTAGAACATATTCTTTATAAACTATGTTATGCCACCTGAGCTAGATGTCCCCCAAGACCATGGTCCCCAAACCCATCAGCCCAGTAACTCAGTCCCTCAGAGAGTTTGGATGTGTCTATGAAGCTTTTATGACTTTGCCTTGGTCGAGTTTTGCCAACTTCCTCAGTATTGTGTACTCTTACCCTTCACCAAAGTTACCACTTATCTATTGTCTAGTTACTGTTTTTCCATGCCCACTGCTCCCCTCCCTTGTATCCATCAAAGATTGTTTCTTTCTGTGTGTAAACCTTTTCATGAGTCTTTATAATAGTAACCTTACGAACCTTTTCGATGAAAGCAACTCTTACTTAGTTGAGGACTCCATGGAATACAATTTGGGCAATACTGGTGTCTTAGTTATCTAGTGCTGCTATAACAGAAATACTACGAGTGTATGGCTTTAACAAACAGAAGTTTATTTTCTCACAGTCTAGTAGGCTAGAAGTCTGAATTCAAGGTGCCAGCTGCAGGGGAAGGCTTTCTCTCTGTCTGCTCTGGAGGAGGGTCCTTGTCTCTTCAGCTTCTGCTGCCTGGTTTCTTGGCCTCTTGGTTCCTCAGGCCTCACTGCTCACATCTGCCCTGCTGGAACAAGTGTTCCAAAGCTCTGTAGCTCCACTGGTAAGTGCCTGGAGGCACCCTACTCTGCCAGTAAAGTTCGGGCAGAAGGCACTCAGCTCTCTTGCTCCATGGGTCAGCAAGCCTAGCTCTACTGATAAATGCCCAGAGGCACCCTACTCCACCAGGAAGCCTTTTGCACAAAGGCACTCAGCTCTCTTGCTCCATGGGTTGGCTCCAGTGCTGCCTCACACTAGCCTCCTGGTTCTGCTGCTGCCGTTTCTCTGCTGCTGCTTCTAGAGGTCTGTACTGTCTCCAGTGTAACAGCTCTCCTTACTTCCTTCTGAGTACTCACCAGAAATGTCTTTGATGTCCATAATTCCACCAACAGTCTCTTCAAGGCAATCTAGGCTTTTACTATTAGGCACTTTAAAACTCTTCCAGCCTTTACCCATTCACAGTTTCAAAACTGCTTTCACATTTTAGGTATCTATTAGAGCAGCACCTGACTCCTGGTATCAAATTCTCCCTCAGTTATCTAGTGGATGATTCTGGATGGCTTTAACAAACAGAAATTTATTCTCTCACAGTCTGGGAGGCTAGAAGTCTGCATTAAAGGTGCCAGCTCCAGGAGAAGGCTTTCTCTCTCTGTCAGTTCTGGGGGACCTCAGAACCACCAAGCAAGAGGGGTGGAGCGTGTCTTTTGGACCCAAGGTCCCTGTGCTGAGAAGCTCTTAGACTAGGGAAAGATTGATGACAAGGACTTTCCCCCAGAACTGACAGAGACAGAAAGCCTTCGCCTGGAGCTGGCACCCTGAATTCAGACTTTAAACCTCCTAGACTGTGAAAGAATAAATCTCTCTTTGTTAAATCCATCCACTATAGTATTTCTGTTATAGCAACACTGATAACTAAGACAACTGGTTAGTGTTCAAATTTACTTCACAGAATTGTAAAACCAGCAGAGGTTTATACAGCACTATGTATCAGGCACTGGTCTCAGTGCTTTATACGTTTTAACTCAATCCTCACAACAATCCTGTGATATAGATACTTATTATTATACTGAGTTGAGGAATCAGAGGTCCAGAGAGATTAAGTAACTTGCCCAAATGACACAGCTGGAAAAAGGTAGAGTCAGGATTTGAACCCAGGCCATTCAGTTCCGCAAGCTGTAGTGCTTATTTTCTCTACTAGGCTGCTAGCATTCGAGGGACTCTGTTGTATGACCTGCCCTCACTCCCCTTTCCTCCCACCCAAGCCCTGTGCTTCATCAGTAAGTCAGCCCTTTTCCTGCCTCTAAGCCTTTGTTTCTTGAGTTCTGTCCCCCAGCATGCCCTCTTCTTCTCCCTTCTGCCTATACTGCTCCCACCTTAATTCTCATTTCCCCAGAACCTTTGGCTGCAGTGACCTGGGATGTGCCCTGTCCCTGTAGCCACTGGGCCCATGTCCCCTCACTCCCACCTATCAGGTCAGCATTCCCAGTTCGGGCCAGCCATGACCCGAGGCAGAGGGAATATGGCAATCCTGTAGTTCTACTGGGTCCTATATGGTCGCTATGAGTTGGAATTGACTAGACAGCAATGATTTTTTTGTTTTGTTTTGTTTTTGTTTTTTTTGCAGTGGTTGAAAGCTCAGCTGCTAACCAAAAGGTTGGCAGTTCAAATCCACCAGTTGCTCGTTGGAAACCCTATAAGGCAGTTCTATTCCATCCTATGGGGTCACTATGTGTCGAAACTGACTTGACGACATAGGGTTTGGCTTGTTTTTTTTTTTCTTGGTCAGCAGTTACCCAGCTTGGCCTCAGTCGGCCAGGTCACTGTTTCTGATCTGAAAGGCACTTTGGTTCCACTGGACACTGGCCTTGCTCCTTGTGACCCCTATAGGTTAGCCTGGGGTCCCTGTCCTCAGAGCCCCAGTACTTCCCCTTAGAATGGAGTCTTGGCCTGACTTCCATGTCCCTTAGCCAGGCCCTTGCCTTGTTCTCTGCAATCCCCCCCGTCCCTGTTCCCACTCCCTTGGACTGTTGGCAGGAGGCCCTGCTGATGTGGACTGCATAACCATCTCCTTTTACCAGCCCCGGCCCCTTCCCTGCCTGTCTGTTGGCACGCAGCTTCACCACCTGGGTCATGGAGCCGCTCTCCTTCCCTGGATTCCCTGCACAGTCATCCCACAGCCAGTCTTGTGTTCCTGGAAGACTGAAAGCCCCTTGAAGAGAGGGATCACAGTGCCTCTGCTTCCTCCCACACTACCTAGCACAGTGCTCAGCCCATGAAGGTGCTGAATAAATTTTTGTGGAATTGAATTGCAACCCTTAGTCCACTTCTCTCAGAGCCACCAGCATGCATACTGGGCTATACATGTACAGAATCTTTTCAGTTCACAAGCTGTTCTGATCTCGAGGACAGGCACAGAATTAAGGTCTCCTTAGTCATCTGAGCTGTAGATTCTCACTCTCTTTACGACCCATTGTGCCCCTTCTTCCTCACATTGCTCCCAGAGAAGTTGGGAGCCCTTGGAAGGTGGGATTGCAAATATATCCTGCCCAGAGAAATTACTGAGACTGGTACCAGATGCACATGCTTAACCTTGTGTGTCCTAGGTAGGAATTTCTAAGTCAGGGCTGGCATTGATGCCTCCCCTCATCCCTCCCGCTGCCATGACAGGCATTGTTAATCAATCACAGCACTCCTGTCTCTGAAACCAGAAGCGTTTCAGAATACACATTAGCTCAAAGCTGGGTGACTTAAGGTGCCTTTCAGGCAAAAACTATTTGTCATTCCTGTATTAAGAAATGGATCCTAAGGACCCAAACTGCCATTGATTTTGTGTTGCTGGCCTGGGAGGCTCTGGACTTTTTGCAAAAGATTCTAGAAATTAAATGGAATGTGAAGCAGAGAGGAATCATTGCGAAGAATGGGGCCTCTGTTAGTGATTTGCCCTCTCCAGGATTATGTATTGCTTGTTTATTTAATTAAGAAATATATGTTGAGTTTTGATCAAAGAGACTATAGAAAAATCTTGAACAAA